GGGCTCTCATGGCCTAGAGGTTAAGGTGTTCGCCTCTCATTCAAAAGGTCCCGGGTTCGAATCCCGGTAGAGACGGAACAAAGTTTCTTCTCTAAAGTTGTCTCCTTTCACCTCTGCTCCTGCTCTCTAGCAATTTTCTGTCGTCTGCTTTCATCTCCACTTTCTGCCCCACCCCCTCACCTCCTTTGCCCCCTCCTCTGGGCTCCTGACTCTTTCTGAAGCCTTTCTACTGCTACTCCTTGACTCATTCTTACTGCTGTCTTTCAGCCACACCCCCGATCTAATGGTAGGTAAGATCTACACCTAGCCTTCTCAGACGAGGCCGAAAAATCTCGGAGGTCCTGTGTGCAAGGTTCGCACGTTAAAGATCCCTTGGTCGTCTTATATCGACAAGAGTAGGCTTCGGCCGTCACCCGGGCAAAATTCAAAATTTCCTACCCACTGAAAATGTTAAATCTGTCCCGCACGCCTGTCCTGCAAGTGCCACTTTTACATATTATTGTTTTTGTCTACTTTTGTGATTATGTTCTCTTCAAAATGATGTCTTCGTTGCATGAATCTTAAAGTCTTAGTTTGTGAGTGCCGTGGAGCTTAAAAGAAACAAGCTTGTATCACAAACCAATCCAGTTGCTTTCTGTTCTTGAAGTCTGCGGCAATCACACGACAATTACAGTGACTGAGCGGTGAATTATTCAGGGGACAACAGACTTCTTCCTTTGTGAGTTAAACATCAGGCCGACAACTGCTCACGGTCAGATGGAGGAAGACGGGGGTGAGGCACGCGCTTCACATCCCGGCGGGCAGGTGCGGGGGCGGGAGGGGGGAGGAGGAGAGCAACAGCAGCCATTTTGTCGTGAGAGTCCTTCAGGACGAGACGATTGTCGTTCGTGATTGCGTTATCGTTGTATCTTGTCTGTCTATCCAGAGAACATAGTCGATCGTATCATCATCATCATCATCATCATCATCATCATCATCATCATCATCATCATCATCATCATCATCATCATCATCATCATCAAAATCACCCACTCTGTAAACCTGTAGACCAGAAAAGAACGTAGCAAAAGACAAAACAAAACAAAACAACAACAACAACAACAAACAACAACAATAACAACAACAAACAACCAACTGTGATTTCTTGTTGAAACTATGAGTTTTTCCGTTTTGATGAACATCACTTTGAAAAAATTTGAATTCCGATCACGAAAGAGAGAGTTCACATAATATGACAGCGAACTTCCGCAGAACACTGGCATATACAGAAACACCTTTGGGCTGAAAGGGACGATTTTCCATCTGTATCAATAGCTGCCTACCCAGCAGTAATGGGTACCTGACTTCGAGTTGGGGAAGTAAAGGCGGCGTGGAAAGGAACTGGCCACCCTACCACAATATTCCGAAGGCCCAGGAAGTTGTCTCACAAACAAGGCAATCCCCAATGTCCGGATCGGATGCGGGAAAACCTTCACTTTTTAAATAAATCAATAGTAGGAAAAAACTAAGCTCCTTAAAGTTAGAATTTGGAGTAACTTACCGTATTTTTTAGTTTTAGTAGAGGTTTTACGGCGCTTGCAACTGCATAAGGTCATATAAGCGCCAGAAGATTAGACGTGTTACAAGAGAGTAACAAACACAAAAGAGAAGAAGGGGAGATAAGGACGATAGATGTTTGATAGAAAAGAAGGAGCTAACCACACCAGAGCACCCGCCAACCACCCACAACTTACACCGTATGAGATAGCACTCAGCTTGCGCCATACAACAACTCAATTTTCGTGTCCGTGACGACAAGATATATATTATACATGATATGTCCGGCATTCAAAGGACGTGGGTTCAAAAGGGAGACGGGTTGTGTCCATGGCAAAGGCTGCTAAGTTGTCTCATTTCACTGAGGTGACTATACACGGCCAAAGATCTCGTCCGTTTATCAGCCTGTGATTGTTTGATCAACAGCTTGCACTGTATGCTTCACAGGAACCTGAGAGTGTTTCTGAGTATTGTAGGGTCTGTGCGGGG